ATTCCATTGCTTACAAAAACATTACTAATTTATTAGAAAATAAAATTTATGATTTGTGATTTATTCTCTAGATAGAAAAGATGATGCCAACTAGATAATTTAAAATTCATTGATGTGCCTAAAGCGGTTTTAATTTTATGGCTCTAGTCCACGAACTTTTTGATAACCCCTCGTATTTCTTTATTCCTCACTAAAATATTAACAGTAGTGAATTTGTATGAGAAACATCAGGAGTACCGTACAACGATATATTCGAGCAGACAAGTGGTATAAATCAAACTTGAGAGAAATCTGAGTTGGACTGTAATCTAACTCTATGTCTTTTCACAACTTTTTCAGTTGGTTGCTTGTTGACACAAGAAACTGGGGATTTCCTTCGTATGCCGTGAATAGAATTTGACTCATGGTATTGTTATTCTCTTGACGAATCGGAGGATTGACGTCATGGGGATAAAAACTGAAAAGTGCTCCGTCATTGCCAAATCGAGAATGCTGAACAATAAGATATATTCCTAGACCGATGTTTACAGTATACTAATGACAATCACACGATACGTCACAAAAACTCTGCATACACACACAATAGATGAAATATTAATGAAAATGGTGCATCAATTACTGTAAATCACTTTTTATTCACGAGAACTTTATTTTCGCGTAATTACGCGAGAGGGTATGCTCGCGAAAATTTCATTCTCGCTTATAATAGAATTCCTTAAGATTATATAAAGCACTGACCACAATTCATGAAAATTTTGTCTCGCTAATAAAGAGTCAATGATTATCTCGCGAAAATAAGGTGTCGCGAAAATTAAGTGATCTACAGTAATTGCATTTATAATTAACGATCTTTACAAGAACAATAACTCTCTAGGTAGAAATCGTCAAACTCGAAATATGGGGGTGCTGTCCAGTCAATCACGAGCACGGAGTGGAGGGCGTTCTCCTGTAGACACCTGTTACAGCTACCTCCAGATCTAAAGATATAAAAAGGCAAAAATGGTCAAAACTTCCTGATTAGAAATACGCAATGAAAACACATGGAAAGTCTATATTTAATGACTTTGAGCTCCCCAGTACAGCAACTTTGCTATTTTTAAAATTCTATATGTTATTACGAGGGTTGATCCAAAAGTAATGTCACAACTTCGATAAAATCGCTATCCGTCGACGTAAAACAACAAAATTATAAATGATGAAAGCTATATTTATTTCAAATCAGACCTGAAAATTTCAATTCAACATGATTTATACTTTTCAAAATATCGGATTATATACAACGTGCGATTATGGTAGTCGCCGCAGCTAAATAACGTCATATGACGGATACGCGCCGTCATACATTTAAACGCTTCCCTTCGTTTCATTAAAAAATATTTGAGATTTGATATCCACGAACACGTTCACAAATTTCACTTTCTTACCCTTAGTTCCCATCGTACACTCATTTTTTCATAATTAATTCTGTCAAAATTTATTGAACAGTAGTAAAAGACCAACTTAAAATTTCACATATCGCTCTATCCGTCTGACTATTTGACAAAGTCACGCACCATTGAACATTTCCGTCCGCCCTCCCACCTTTCGGTTTTCTTGTCATCTGCTGAGCATTTAATGACCCATCACCCACCGAAAATCGCTGAAACCATCTAAACACGTCTCTTATTTACATTCTTTCCTCCGAAATTCTGGTGAATCAACGTAACTGTCTCTACTGGCGATTTCTCCATTTTGAAGCAAAAATGCATTACAGTTTGTTTTGGCTTTTTTGTCCATTTTGACATTTCCTTTTTTCAATGCACCAGAATAAATCAACGATGTTTTTTTTTTTTTTTTTTTTTAAATTGTCATTGATGTCATATAATTTTAAATTTAATACTAGAAAATGATGTAAATTTTTGTCTTTTAAAGTATTTTGCGTTTAGGCGCTTTTAAAAGATGCTTTTTAAGTGTTGGTCTTTTTTCTACTTAAAAAAGTACACTTTAATTTGTCACGTTCGGTTTTGACGCGGCGACACCCCCTATTTTATATGTTTTAAACATCTATAAAATATAGTCAGTTAAACATTATTGAATGAAAAATTAAAGTTTAGTTTAATTTATATTTTTGCATCTTTTGGTATATAATATTTGATAATAAGACGCCAAATATAAAAGATATGGACACTGTGACATTACTTTTGGATCAACCCTCGTACAAGCATGACGGAAAAACTTTTTTTTTCAGCGAAAGCAAAGAATTTTTGTAAACGGCCAATTCTTCTGTGTCGTTTACAAAGGACATGGATCAAATCGTTTATTTAAGCAAACATTTTTGTACTATAAAAAAGTCTGTTTTCAAATTTTCTTTTTAAAATAAAATCTTAACAAAGACTCTCGATCTCAAGAAAATATTTATCATTTTAAGCAAATACAATTTATTTTATAAAAGATGGTGAATGTGTGTGAATTTGCAAAGAAGACAAAAATTGAGTAAAGAGAGATAAAAGACTCAAACGAGTTATTAACGATGTATTTAAACAAAATTTAAGTACATGTATGTTTTGGATGATTTAATAATTGTGAAAAGGGTCATATATTTGAAATTGAAATATGACTTACTTGAAAGCAAAAGAAAAGTAAAAGAAAGAAGAAATCGTAAGAAGACGGTGTAATAAAAAAAATTCAATATTGGATTAAAACGGCCCTTTAATCTTCATTGCACAAACCACTCTTTAGTCTTTGCCAAATACACGTAAGGGTAAATACCTTTTCATTAATCTATATTTCTGAAATAAACTTAAAAAGTTCAAATATCAAAATTGACACTCGTCTCAAAGAGCGAAGGAATAAAATTTAGTTTTTTTTTAATACTGTAAGATTTGAATGCTTTTTTCGCACATTGAACAGGTGCGTGAGAAACCTAGATGGACTACTTACACACATCTCCCCCTCGGTATGAATTGATACATGGGGTCTGGTTGACTGTCGGGGAAATGAACAATGTAACGAAGTACTCCTCTCGTGTTATATAAGACAGGAGGGAAAATCAAATCACGGTACCTATAATTCAAAATTAGCCTTTAATGAAGTGAAGGAAAAAAAGGAAAATGATAACGTTAAATATGAACTTGATTCATATCGGAATAATTAAGACCGTTTTATCACTTTTAAAATTCAATGTTTATTTAAAAAAAATAGTGATGTAAAACATTTATAGGAGTAAATCATTCGTGGATAATTTTATAAAGATTAACTAAGAATAGAAATTTTTACATTTACTTACGTAGGACAACAATGGTCACCGTCATGATCCCCCGAATAGTAATAATTACTGGTACTTTTAAAACGCGAGGAATAGCCGTAAGGTTTCCTGAACTTTTTCTGCCATACAGGACTCTTACTAGTGCTGCTTGTGTAGGCATTTAATTCTTTTAGTTTCAATTGCAATTCATTCTTTGTGAAAAATATCCCTGCTCGAAATATTGAAATTTAATAATATCAATACATGTAAAGCCACTTGAAGGATCTAAAAGAACAAGTTTTAAACAGTTAATTTACATTTATTAATATGACATGCATGTATATTTTGACACATTCTATGTAAAACTACTAACGATTTTGAGTACTACAATCATTTATGAATATTACAATCTTTAAAAATTGAAAAATTCATTTACTGGAAAATCAAACTGTATTGAAATCGAATTAACTTACGAACCCCGGTATAAATTTTTTATCTTTTCATACGGAACCCCGGCACACGTTCCTGCGAAGCACCGCGACCGTCATCCGGAGTGTTAAGTTTTAGTTCTTGATTTTTCACCTTCGCTATTTGAATTTGAGAATCAACAATTATTAGGACACACAGAAGGAATATGCAGCAGCAGGTATTGGTCATTTTACAAGGTGGTTGCTTTTCTCCAAAAACACGAACTAGTCTCTTTGATTGTCACGATTAATGTCGAATGCGTCACTTTGTTTTCAGTTTTTAAATGGTCGAAAATTTAATGATGTTTAGCCTTGTTGTTCGCCTATAACCAAGTCCTCAGGCCGTCACGAAGGAAACTGGATAGAGAACTGTTGCGGTATACGTAAGGCAAGCCCTGGAAATTTAGGAAAGGCTATATTTAAACCATGGAAAACGAAATATCGGGCATGGTCCGTATCTGTCTTGGTTACTTCACAATAAAAGAAAATACTTTTTTTCACAATAAAAGAAAAGATGTATAAGCTACTTCCGTGTAGCACCCCCTATTCAGGTTATTCCACGGATAATGTACCCATTTGACAACTGCTTCAAGGTCTTGAATCATGATTGTAACAATCACTAATATAACCTATAGGGTACCCCTTGTTTTGTATAAAGTTTCGCCCTTCGAGCACCTCTTTGGTCAAGCACCCAAAATTCCTTGCAGAATTCTGGCCGACAGGACAGGTAACAATAGCTAGGTATTCCCGGCAGAACTGTCCACCGTGTAAGACACGATGTAAAGGGTCAGGACAGATTGGTTAAGTTTTGCACCAGCTTGTGCCTATGACTTACAGCAAGTCTACTGCAACATTTTAGTATATTTCTGCACGGAAAACAGACCGTGGTAAGTATATTTTGCAAGTACTTTTTAGTTATGTTAAATGTACTTTTAAAATTCGTTACATTAAAGCTGAACACGACTCGTAAATAGGCATACGCCATTTTTGATAGCATTATCTACAATACAACAATACTAGGGTATACTGGTCGTATTCGTTACACCTGACTGCTTTATTGTCACAGGTATCGGCGTGGAATGACCCGTGTTCGTGCTGGCTATCTTGCATTACCTTTGTTTATATTTTATTGCATTTACGTTTATCTATGTTGTTTGTATACTGAACAGAATTATGTACCTATAATTGTAAATTTATTTGGTATCTTACTTCCCTGCATTAGACGAAGTATTACGTTATTATTCTCGCTACCAAGTCCTGTATAGTATATGTCCGTCTTCTTCGTGTCGACTGATTAAACTGAACAGTCTCCAATTCTTGCCCTATTTATAGGGGTCTGCAGAGTAGCGAGTCTCGGGAACTAAAATGGCGGACACAATACTTTTACGAATCGTGTTCAGCTTTAATTCACCTTGGCAGGCAGTCATCAATGACTTACCTGTGTGTGCGTTCAGGTGTGACGTTAGCGAGAGTGTTTGAATAGGTTTTCTCGTCAGAAGTTTTATCGCTGTTAGTGTAATTCTATACATTTAAAGAACAGCCTGTTTCTTTATTTTATTGTATTTTTGTTCGCTGTACATGCGTATTACTTTTTCATTTAAATGTCTGAGCGGAAGTAAGTTACCGGAAGTATTGTCAGCCATTTTGTATCTATGTCAACTGTAAACAAACTGAAGATATTGAAAGCATTTAAGTGTTATGTTATATTGAACTCAAGATAATTATATGGTTATTAATTAAAGCCAGTATAATTATATTATAGTATTGCCATATGTAGAGTACATAATTATTTTACTGATAAAGGAAAGTTAATATTTTAGCACCATGCTGAGGTGTTCGTGGTAACTGATGTCATGATGACGACGATGATGTCGATGATCTGATGATGACGACGATGATGTCGGTGATGTTGATGATGGTGTCGATGACGATGATGACAATGATGTTGATGAAGACGACGGCGATGATGATGTCTACGACTTAGTCGCGGGAATCTCCAGTACTTGTGAACATTGATCCCAACCACAGTCTGGGATTACAGCCCCGGAGGCTTGGGAGGTTTAAGGACAGTGTTGGACTTGATTGAGACTGTCGTATGGATGGACAATACTAGTAATGATTGAAATTGAGTTCTAAATTGGTTTGAGTTTTTGAGAACACGTGTTGATAGTTGATACAGCTGTTTAAACATCTTTTGATCATTTTTTTTATCATTGTAAATAACATTTTTTTTGGGTTACGATCATTTGAGTGAGTGTGTGTGTGTGTGTGTGTGTGTGATTGCGTGATTTATTTGTTAATTGTCTTTTCTTTATTTCTATTTTTTTTGTGTGTGTAAATAAATTCTTGTTTTCTTTGAAGAAATTCTTGTTTTGATTTGAAAAGGAAAGCCTGGCTCATTCCACGTTACAATGATCAAAGATCGCGATCTAAGACGTAAAAATAAAACATACATGTAAATACCTGATCAGTCACGACTATCAATGTACATGTACCATCATTAAGAACCATGGTCCTTTAAGGCAGGAAGAGTAAGGCTTTCAAATTATAACATTTATTTCTTTATTTAAATCAATCGGAAATTCAACATTTTAAATAAGGAAATTAACCTTTAAACATGGAAATAAAATATTTTTAGTGAAAAAAAATATGCTAACCATAAGTAAAGATTGTGCCCTTGTCCTCTAAATCGGTTAACAGATTTACCTGTAATATCAATAGGTTTTTTCTGTATACATGTACCTGATGAAAAAGAAATTGTCGTAGTACCAACCGTTTTGTTGCATAATCTGTCCCTACGTGTTAACATGAAACATAATACGGTTACCGTAATCCAAACATCAAAAACAAATGGTCAAAATTATTCATGCCCAGGGACATATGGGGGAGGTCATGTCACATCCATACATTTTGAAAAATGAAAGCCCTAACACCAAGCATTCAAAGTTATGGACAAGGTTAGGATATTTCAAAAGAAGGTCAAATTTCAAGTCAATGTCCAAGGGTTATCCACTGTTTGTGAGTGGGATAGCTCTTTTATGCAACCCGCGACAGGAACTATATTCCCTGAGGGCTTGCCCGAGGGGAATAGTTCCTGTCAAGGCTTAGATGAAAGAGCTACCCCACCCATAACCAGTGGATAAGCGTTTTATTATACTGATGTATATTATAATTTCTGAGTCTATTGATTTATCGCTTGAAATCAAAATTGGCGGCAAAAATTGCATGAAAATCTTCTGAGGGGTGGATAGCAAAAACTATACCCCGGGGTTTAGCTTCCTATGCGTGGAAATTTTCTGACTATGAAAAAGTAGTCAATTTACCTTCTTAACTTTATACAGGAAACATTTTAAGGAGGATCTCTACACCTGTAAAGTATAACTGATTTTTGTTGCATGCATTTGTTTCTAATAATAGGCCCCATATCCCATAAAATATGGTTCCAAAGTATTTCAATTTATTTTTTAGAAATATTTGAAATATTTTATTTATTTTGTTAAAATCCCTCATATCAATTTTTTTAAATGCCCATTGCTTTAAATTTCTCTTAAAAGTTAAGTGTTATAAAATATTGAAATAATAACCAACAAAGTTAAAAATAAAATCAACATAATTTTTATTTAAATTTACAAAAATAGACAAAAGAAAAACTAAAACAGCATTTTCTTGAGAATAGCTGGTTGGATCCTCTTCAATATCTGAAAAGATATATAATATCAAAGGGTAAAAACAATGAAAAAAAGAAATTGAAAAAAATTGAAAAACTGTCAAAAATTTATAAACATCACAAAAATTCAGGTGTGAGAGATCCGCTTTAAGTATAATAATTGTTCATACCCAAGAAAGGTCTTGCTTGAACGAATACACACGTGATATATGAAACCCCATAGAACAAGCTAATTCAGAGAATTTGTGTCCCCCGCTTAGGGAAAAAGTAAGCCATGCGCAGTTCGGGGGGAGGTGGGGGGGATCATTCATTCTTTCTTTATTTCCTCCCATTGGAGATTCATGAACATATAAGAATACATAGTGAAAGAACAAAATATAACATCATATAAGTGCTTTATATTTACATTAATGCAAAATTAAATTTGAAAAAGAAGAAATTGTCTTAAATGTTTGCAAAAAATAAAGTTAGTGCACAGGGGTAGAAGTATCCATTTACGAGTATGTTATCTTTCTTTGATACACCGCAGCCACATCTCTTATAAAGCGAAAGTTAAGAATATGGAGTTCTGGTGCATCACGGTCGGAAAGTAAGGGTGTTAGACATCTGGCACCGAGCAGAAACAAGTATAATTCATTTCCAGGGAGTCCTGAGAGTTCGGCGCCTAGTGAGATGTCGTAGTCCTCAATCACAGTTTCCCACCAGGCGTCGCGAAACAGAGATGTTTCGGGGCAAGCCGTAGTAATGTGTTCGAACACATTTGTGAAAGATTTTGCGCAGAGGCAGCAGGTTTCCGGCAGTACATCTAAAAGGGTCCATAGCTTGACAATGAATTTGCACAAAACAATATCTTGGATATTTTTTGGGATGATCCACAGATGCTCAGGTGGTTTGCTTGCGCAGAGAATGTTGAATCTAGCAAAGTCGGGGTCGACAAGCATTCGGTTGCGCCTAGAGGCAGAGTGAAAGGAGATGACAGAAGATTTCACTGAAGATTTCCATTGAGACTTGTTGGGGAAGAATCCACTTTCGAGATAACCAGTTAACACGTGGTATAAGTTGTATTTCAGGAGTATGGGAATTATGTCCTGAATAAACACATAATGTTTAGTACTAGCGTTGAAGAGGTAGGAGAACAGACGGATGATGAATATACGCTTGGTGAGGTAAGTTGTGTTGAGTTCACAGAGACGACCAAAGAATTGCAACTTCTTAATGTCAATCTCTGCTGTAATTGGAAGGAGACCTAGAAGGCTTTCGCACATGTCTGATCTTGTATGATGGGGCAGTCCCATAACATGTTTAACAACGAAATGTTGGAATGCGTTGAGTGTTCTTATGTCTTTTGTCCGAAGATCGCACCATAATTCGCTTCCGTAGAGAACTGATGGTAAGACAACTTTTTTGTACATTTTGGCCACTGTTACGGGGTTGAGCTGTTCGGAAACTTTAAGTGCGAAATATGATTGCGGTCCTTTCCTGCAAGCGTTTGATGTTCTTTCGCCAGGATCAAAGTTGGAGCTTAAAAGAATTCCAAGATGATTGTACGAGTTGGAAAATTCAATGCGTTCATTGCCGAGACGCAAGCTTAAAGTGTCAGCAGGATTTGAGCGCTTTTGGTGGAAGAGGAGAACGTTGGATTTTGCGGTGTTAAATGTAAATCGCCAGCGTGTTGAGTATTGGAATATGTTGTCCAGAACTCGTTGAAGCTCAAGAGGTGTGAGAGCAATGACACAGATGTCATCTGCTAGGGTTGGGTTTGAGCTT